CGAGCACTACAGGTATATCTAGGGAAAGTCGGCTTTCTGATTCGGGAGCTGTCGTCGTTGAACCACTGCTGGTACGTACTCGCATGGATTGGGGCCCTTGTTCGTGTCGTTTATCAGCGGCCCCGCCCCCGAAGGTCGCTGTCGTTAGTTTTCCCGCCTAGGGCTGAGCGGCCGTGCTGGCGCCGCCCCTGGGTAGTTCGGGACACTTGACGAAGACCTTCTTGGAGATGGTGATCGTGACTGGCGCCGCGGGAGTAGTGGCATGCGCTGCTCGGACAGGTACTCCTCAATCGCTCTGGGTCTTTCGCCAAATCTTGGCCTGGGTGAGTCGACGGCGAAACCCTGAAGTCCGAGGCGACGGTACTGGCATTCGCGGTACACGTGTCCGGCTTCGCCACAGTGGTAGCACAGCGGCCGCCTGTCCGGTGTGCGCCATACGTCCGATTTCCGCGGGAGGAGCTGCCGATTCTCGAAATGCTGGACTGGTTGAACTGCTGGGAGTGGATCGCGATGTGCAGGGTGTACGAAACGGCGTGGAGGAGCGTAACGACTCGCAGCTTCGGCGTACGATGCAGGAGCGACGTAACAGCTCACAGCCTCGGCATAGATGCGCGGTGAGGCTCGATCGGTACAGGCGGGGAAGCATCGTTGGACAGCGGGACTTGCAAAGCCTGCTGTACTTCACTCCTGATGAGGCTGGAGATGGATCCCGCAGCAGGTGGAGGCGGCCCGTGAATCTTCTGCAGCTCGTCGCGTACCACCGATCTGATGAGGTCGCAGAGAGCTTCGAGATGGACGTTACTCCCCGCAACTCCAATCTGGTCCACCGGCGAGGCAACATTCACGTGGCGGTCGTACACAGCTGATCGCTGCTGCAGCATGTTTTCCATTGTCGTTGCTTCAGTTAAAAACTCTGCCACAGTATTCGGGGGACTTCGCACGAGACCAGCGAAGAGTTGCTCCTTAACTCCTCGCATTAGGTGGCGCAACTTTCTTGTCTTCTCCCATACCTGGGTCAGCGCGACGGAAAAGGCTCGTCATGTCCTCCACGTACGCCATCACGCTCTCGTTCGGCATTTGGATGCGTGATTGGATGGCCCGTTCCGCTCGTTCACGGCGATGGGGGTCAGCGTAACTTGCCAGCAGCTGACGACAAAAACATCGTCCACGACGAGAAGGGTTCGCGGTTCTCGTACCAAGTACGAGCTCCGTCCTCAAGGCTGAAATATACATTCCGCAGCTTGTTGGCGTCGGTCCACTCGTTGAAAGCCGCAACGCGTTCAAAGTGAGCCAACCAGTCCACAACATCCTCCAACATGGAGCCACGGAACACCTTCGGCACTCGTGGCTTCTGCAGCGTGTAATTAGCCATCGGAATATTTTCCGTACCGCTCTGGGGTGGTGCAGTTGATGCCATCTCCGGTAGAGGTTCACGCTCGGGGGACAATCCTCGGATTCTCCGGCTGGCCCGGTGGACAGGTGTTGCGACTGCGGGTATAGGGCTCCCAGGAGGCGTTTGGATCATTGACTGGGAATACCCAGCGACTCCACCAGTTGTCGCGCGTGAACAAGAGGGACTTCAGGTAAAGAATACCGCGTAGTCACAGAGGCGCAGGTCAGGGACACCACAACCAAAAACAAAAAGCCTCGGCGAGAGCGCGCTAGCCCAACAACTTCTTCCTCGTTTTTTCTCCTCGATGCGGGCTCGTGCTCGCCGCAGTTCATGGCCAGGTGGCAATATAATCCCTGAATATGGCGACACGTTGCCGCACGGTGTCATTTGTGCAACCATGCGTCTCCCGAAGACGGTCTGTCACGAGGTGACTCGCACCTTAATCAACAAATCGAAGGGCTAAGAGCCTTCTCAATTGACGTGACAGACCTGTACTATTCCCTTCCCCATCCACAAATGCTAAAATATGTTAGAAGTAGCATTGATGAATTTGGTGCTGTTAAGTTTTCTTCTGAGTCAGGTATATCCGCTGATAATTTTCTTACCTTGTTGGAATTTTCTTCTACTTCGACGTTCATTAAATGATACAATGATATTTTTTCGCAAAAGCAGGGTATATGTAACGGCTCTTGCATCGCGCATGTCTTGAGCAATCTGTTTCTAGCAGAACTTGATAGAATTGTGGCATATCGTCTCGCAGAGACGACGGCTAAGAAAGTGTTCCGGTATGTAGATGATTTTATTATTTTCTTTGACAGCTCAGGGGAAAATTTCCGAAGTGAGAGTGCCAGTGAGTTGAATGTGTTTCGTCATGGTCTTAAGCCCCTTGAAGTGACAGTAGAATGACCTAGTGACGGACGAATAAGGTATTTAGATTTAAGTGCTCAGTGTCCGGACAACCAGCTATGCTGGTGCTATGATCTGCGTGCTCAGAAAGCTTTACTACTATTTCATTCCGGTCGTTCCAAACTAACCAAGAGAGCCATCGCGACGGCTTGCCTCAAAAATGCATTGAACAAGTCACTTGCGCACCTTACTGAAGCAGAGCTTCCATAATCAGATCACACGTTTGCAAGGATCGGGCTATCTGAATCATGTTTAAGTTTCAGTTGCGGACAAAGTGTTGAAAAGGATTCGTGCAAGGTCAAGCCAATCTAATGTTCATGTCGATTCACCGGCTAAATCAAGACGCATGGCCATAATTCTATATGTTCACCAGCTGTTACTTAACCTCAATAAAGTGGCACTTCGGGGCAATATTAGGGTGCTATTTTCAGTACGTGATAAACTTGGTAAATTGTGTGTGCTGACGAATCCGTCACGTGGGGAAAGGCTGTTGTTCACAAAAAGGCATACACACAAATTTGTGGAGTGCATTTCGTTCGTCATTTATCTTAATCTGTTCACATGTGGGAAAAAATATGTCGGCCAAACCAGTAGGTGTGTGAATGAGCGATTGAGAGAACACAATTACAAGGCGGATAAACTGCCGCCAGAAGGTTTTCTCGCTCTTCACATTCACGCGTGTGGGTGCCGGCCTTTGTTCCAGAGTACAATCATTGTTGGTAGGCATAAGGATGAGATGACTCGGTTGATCATAGAAGCCGAACTTATTGATGCTCTTGGAGATGTATGTATTAGCAAGCCTTCAATTGCCTTGTCACCCAAGGAACTGGAGTTCCTGCGTACGCAGCGATTACGTGATTTTATCTGTGAGGTTGTTTTGTTGTCCGATTGATCGTTTTTTCTTGTAGGTAGATGACATTACCGTGCATTTATCTGAGTACACGTGCTTATCTGCTTGCTCGCCCGACGATTATGGCTTAAAAGCGGCTTGGAGGTCAAAAATAAACATGCTGTTGCTAGTAGCGCTCTGTCCTCTCAGTCTATTGTTTCCTGTGTTCGTTTTTTTTTCGCCTCGCGCTACATATATTTCTTTCAAATGTTTCACCAACAAGCTCACATCCCCACGCTTGTCTTACTCAACAGCTATTCAACGAAAAGCGCAGGCGAGTGCTTCTCCACTGATTTCGGCGACCACTTGACGACCGCCGTCTACCGCCTCGTGCCGGGCTCGATCGACGGAGCGCCACGCTGGCGCCTCGAACACGCCACCAACTCACCCCTACCTCTCGGATTCCGCAAACCTGGACAATTTTGACCAAAGGCAGAGCCTGCAGTCGGAACGCTTGCACGGCATCGCAAAGGCGTTTCGCACACTCACAAAGTTACGCTGTGCCACATCACCCTCCCTTGACCAGCATACCAACACACGATGTAGACATTTCGCACGGATTCGCGGGTCTCCATTTCACGGCAGGACCGTCGTCGACTTCGGTGCGGCGTTGCGCCACATCGAACTTGCAAGGCATATGTTGCGTGCACTGAAGAAGCCAGCAGCAGCACCTTTTCGTCAATGATTGCAGTCGTCTTTGCTAAAGCGTTGCTTGGCCAGCCATCGTAGAAGTAATGTTAGATGGGGGACGTAATAGCTTTTGGTACAGTCATTTTTCCCTCAAGGCTTTGATGCACGTGTTTGAAATGTAGACCTTGCATAGGTTTAAAATGAAGTGCTGTAGCATATCTCGTGATGTGCCTGATAATGTGCGCCGGCAAGCATTCATTGTGACGTCATTGGTGTAATCGAGAGTCCGCGTGCAAGCAAGGAAGCACGGCTTCGACGTCTGGGAAAAAGAAGGTTTCAGATTTAACATGTTTGTAAGCGAAACAAGAAACATCAAGCGGACAGAGCGCTTCTCGGCCTTTTGGCTATGATAAATGTCGCTTCTCGACCTTTTGGCTAAGATCGCCTCTCGCCCTTTTGGCTAACATCAAAGTGTTGTCCTACCCCTCGTGATTACATGTACTTGGCCCTGAAGACGAGCTTTGATGCCCCCTCCCCTTGAGAGTTGACCACTTTTTTCAGTCTTCTTTTTCTTTTCCACTCTCTTCTCTTTACTCCTTCCATCTGGCACATGCGCTGCGTCCAAAACGCGCTTCTTAGGAAGCTAACTGATCTGTTGCACCGCAATTTACCTGTTCTTCCCCTGTCCTGAGGTTAGGTCCTGCTTCTATGGCTCGATGCTGTTCCACACCTGAATGCATGGCCTATTCAGCAGGGCTGTCTGGTGTTTTTGGACCTGTGATGGTCTGCTGCTTTGGGATTTCCTGGTCAGTCTCAGTTTGGCGAGCGGCAGTGGGGGAATGACGCCCCGCGGTGGGTTAAAGGTTCAAGACACTACACCGCTGTATTGATATATGTGTTCAGGGGCTGCTTGCTTAGCTGGTGGGTGGTGACCCAAGAGGACATTCCCGACTAAGCTCACGGGTCCCGGATCCTGGGTGGACGTGCTGCTCAGCCCCTTTTCGGCCGGCCTCTCTCAAGGCAGCTCCTCCGTGGCTCTAACACCATGGCGACTGGCCAAGCCCTTTAGTGAGGAAGGGTGGACGCTGGGGCAGCCGGTAGGGCGCTACAACCTGGGGTCAGGCCCTTTTGTCCCTGAAGGTCCGGGTGGCCTTCGCTCAGGCAAGTGAGGCCGAGACTATTATTCCCTCAATGTGTTGCCTCTTTTGATGACCACCCTCTGTTCTTATTAGCTTAATGTATGATACGGACTCTATTTGTATCCAAGATAATAATCTTATTTTTGCAATGCGGCGCAGTGCTTGAAGCTTGCTTCTACTTCGCCACGGGTTGGCCCGGTATTGCACTATCTCCGCGATCGGCATACTCGCCCCTGCGGGGGTGAGTACAACACTATTCTCAAAAAAAAGCGACTGCGTTCGGATTCACCAAGATATTGGAGTGAACTCGAGGGTGCGGCGACTATCCGAAGCCTTGGTGCACGCCGCCCCAGATGACGCGGTATTCGCCGCCCTTCGCCCGCGTGTGGAAGTGCGCTAGCTGCGTTCTCACTTACAATTGCTTTGGGAAAGTAAATCTTTGTGTGGTAAGTTTATTTTCCGGAGCCCCTTTTTTCTCTGTTAACGCATACATACTCCAAGATTTTTCAACATTCAAATAATAAAAATAATGAGTAGTTTGTTAATACCGTTTCAACGGAATTGTGAAAGTGTGTATGTGACAAAACAGCGTTTTTTTAGCTATTTTAACTTTTGGTGTTTCGAGCATTTCAGAAGAAAAATGGAACAGCTTCTAATGCATGTAGGTGTTTCTCTTTACAAGGTACAGTGACAGGTGAAGGCATTTTCATTTGACGGCTTCACGAGACGTCTTGATGATGTTTGATGCTTTGTGGCGCAAGCGCCATTTCACGGCCAAAGAGCACCAGTTCTTCTTATTAAGATATGGACAATGATTGGGATAAGCGGTTGTATAAGGGCCATAAAAGTCCTCGCGGTAAGGCGGTTAAAAACATACCAGTAATAAAATCATGACCATGCCGTGAAAGGTGTGTGTGGTGTGAATGGATGACAAAAGTTGGTGATAACAAAAACGATGGTGGACATGTATGGCATTAGCACAACTGCCTCACTCGTTCATACCCTTGCGTCCAAGGGCCGTGAGGCAAGTGCTTTGTTGTACAGCCACCGCAGACGAAAACGTCTCTGGAAAGGTCGTGCTGCGGAATTCCCGGGTATATGACATGAAAACTACGAATTTCATTTAAAACGCTTACAATGACTTATGACAAAAAGTGATTCCCTACCGACGAACATTGCAGAAAGAGTAGTTTTCTTGGAGTTTCTAACTGTTTGCACTGAATTGATTCGTGAAGAACTGTTAGTACTTCCCCACATCTGTCACACAATGGTGGATTGCCACCGGACAGAAGATATGAGTGTGTCGTGTATGTGTGTCCTATCCTGAGCCTCGTTAGTATTATCTCTCAATGACGCGATTTTGGTACTGGTGGCCAGTGGCCAAGGTATGGCTTAATAATGTGTAGTTTGTTTTGTGTGTGTCTCTCCCACATGCTCTGCCAGTAGTCCCTGAACTTTCGTTTGAGAGACGGCTTACGATCAGGGGCTGGAATTGATATGGGTGTAGTGGCAGTGCTTTCGAGGACGGATGCAGCAAGCTGTTCCGCCATCACGTTGCCTTGTATCTCACGGTGCCCTGACACCCAGCACACTACAACGTGTTGTTTGAGTGTGTAGAGTGTGCGTAAAATAGAGTAAAGTGAGACGGGGACAGGGTTTTTTTGTTTTTAAGATTGTGCAGAGCCGTTACCACACTAAGGGAGTCCGTATAAAATACTGCTTTTTGTATTTGTGATTGTTGGATGTGTTTAGCCACCACAAGTATCGCGTAAGTTTCCGTTGTGAAGATACTTGTGCCTGGATGTAGAGCGCCAGCATCCGAAAAGGATGGACCGACAGCAGCGTAGGACACAGAGGAGTTAGACTTGGAGGCATCTGTAAAGAACTCAGGACGTGTGTATTTGTGTTGAAGTGCCAGGAAGTAGTTTCGGATATGGGCAATAGGCGCATGTTTTGTAACTTCTAGGAAAGACATATCGCAGTCTATCATCTGCCACTGCCACGGTGACGGGTATACTACAGGAGCCTTTAAACTGTGTTCAAGTGACACTCCAGTTTCCTCAGCTAGACCCTTCAGGCGAACTGAGAAGGGCTGCCTCATCGAAAGCCTTGCTTTGTAACAGAATGGAGCCCGACAAATAATTAATAGTAGAGTATGAGGAGTGCTTCTTGTCTGCTTTCAGCCTAAGAAATATACAAAGGACATGTAAGTTCTTTGTAGATAAAGCGACTATTCATTTGACTCAACGTAAAGGCTTTTTACAGGGCTGGTGCGAAACGCACCCATAGAACGGCGGATGCCCAAATGGTACACAGGATCCAAGCATCTTCAAAGCACTTCGAGTCAGCAGACTTATAAACAACGGCCCCATAATCTAAGCGGGTTCGAATGAGGCTTCTATAAAGGTTCATGAGACATTGCCTATCACTACTCCACGTAGTACGTGACAACACTTATAAAATTCACAGCTTTTAAACATTTTGTTGTTAAATACCTGATGTGTGGTGCGAAGGTCAACTTGTTGTCAAAGAGTAAGCCTAAGAATTTATGCTCCGCATTGACAGGCAGACGTTGACCGTTCACTTCAATGTCAGGTTCTGAGTGCATACCTCTCTTTCGGAAGAACAAGACACACGTGCTTTTTTCTGGGTTCAGCCGGAATTCGTTTTCCTCTACCCATTTGGAGAACTTGTTTAAATCTAACTGAACGTGCTGCTCACACAATGCTGGGTTGCATGACTTAAAGAAAAGCTCGACGTCATCAACTTATGTGGAATAGAACATGTTGCGGGGGATGGAACAGGTGCAAGGAATTCATTTTGATAATAAGTGTACAATTAAGTACACCACCTTGCGGTACTCCCGTTTCTTGCACAAATGTTTCGGAGAGAATACTGCCAACATAGACATGGAATTTTCGATTGGACAAGTAACTCTCGATTACGGAAAGCATTCTACCACGCAGACCCATGGTGAGATAAGTCTCTTATTATGCCAAAACGTCATGTTGTGTCGTAAGCCTTCTCAAGATTGAGAAACACAGAGAGTAAGTATTGTTTGTGGACTAAAGCGTCTTGGATCTGTGCCTCGATATGCACCAGATAGTCGGTGGTGGATCTACCCTCTCGAACCCGACACTGGAATTGGTCGAGCAGATTGTGTGTTTCAAGGATATGTAAAAGTCGGTGGTTTATCATTTGTTCAAAAAGTTTACAACGGCGGCAGGTTGGTGCAATGGGCCTATAACTTGAAACTGAGGAAAGGCTCCTTGCGCTGTTTCAAAATAGGGATAACAATAGCCTCTTTCCAGGAAGCAGGGATGGTGCCAGAAAGCCAGATGGCATTGTATATGGAGAGTAAACTTTTTCGCGTTTTGAGTGGCAGGCTTTTCAACATTTCGTACGTGACATGGTCGTAGCCTGCAGCAGAAGTACTGCAAGAGTTTAGTTATGTTAGTAGCTCAGCTAAGTTGAAAGGTTGGTTGTATGCCTCATGATTTGTGTACTTGTATTCTAGTTTCTGCTTTTCTATCCTTGCTTATATCTTTGGAAAGCTTCAGTGTGGTGTGACAAGCTAGACACTTGCTCGTAGTGTGCACCGAGGAAGTTTGCCTGATCTTCCAGGCTGTCACCCTGTGTGTTTACGAGTGGGAGTGTGTGTACTTGTCTTCCTTCTACCCTACCAACTATGTTCCAGTATTTAGCCTCTTGTGTATATGAATTTATCCCTGATAAAACTTGTGCCAGCTATTCTTCTGGCCTGCCGACGCGTTCTCCTGCCTTGAGACTTTATTTTCTTAATCTTTCAAAATTTCCGGTTTTAGGTGAGTTCCGAAGCAATCTCCATGCCTTATTCTGCTCCTTTCGCGCATTCCTGACACTCACTGTTGCACCATGGGACACGTAGCTTGCAAGGCATTCCAGATGTTTGCGATGTGCACTTGGCCGCTGCGTCAGTAAGAAAAGCTGCGAGGACTGCACAGCTTCATCTATACTTAACCTACACATGTCAGTCCAAGTCTAAACGAGTAGTGTTGCGAAACTGTTCCCAGTCCGCTTTGTCTATCAGCCATTTGGCAACATGTGGAGAACATTCATTATGTTGTTGAACTCAACACAAGAGGAGATTGGTTACTTCCATTAGGATTATTTATGATTTTCCATTTCAGTAGGGGTAGACGTGAAGGTGATACGATGCTGAGTTCTATAAACGAGTAAGTTTTGTTCGCGAAGTTATAGTATGTTGGCTCTTTCTTATTCAATAAACAGGCACCGGAAGAGAAGAGAAATGTTCAATGAGATGACCTCGTGCATCACAGCGAGAATCGCCCCACAGACTGCCATGTGCATTTAGGTCCCCAAGGAAGCAGATAAGGTCCAGGTAGGTCGTCTATCTAAGACTGGAATTTACGTCTTTCAAGACGATGGTGCGGAGGTATGTACATAGAACAGACGGTGACAAATTTGTTTAGAAGTACTGCTCGGACAGCTACCGCCTCAAGGAATGTCTGGAGTAGTAAGTGTGTACACGCTACTCCTTTATTAACCATATTGGCCACGCCACCGGATGACGCCACAGCATCATCTCGGACCTTTCTGAATATGACGTAATCACGTAGAAACTTTGTATGGGAGGTATTTAGGTGTGTTTCCTGTACACACAGCTCTTTTGGTGAGTGTTTGTGTAAAAGTTCTTGGATGTCGTCGAGATTTTTAAGCAGTCCTCTGACGTTCTAATGTATAATTTGTGTTTTCATATTGGAAGGAAAGTAGTGCTGTGTGTACAAAATGGGTGTGTCTGCTTTTTGAGCAGAACGTTCATTACTTAGGTAACAGGGCCGTCATTAGGCCCCGTTATCGGCTTTTTATTTCTCTTGGCGTGCTTCAGAGAGCTACGCCGATCTTTTGGCACCAGGGGTACCGTGATGTCCATAGCCTTCCTCAGAGGCACTGCGCGCCTGCATTTGCGAGCTGTTGTTTTGAGCTTGAGGCTTCGCCTGGTGAGCAGAGGCCTTTATCTCTGCCGAGCCTGGGGTGTCCTCCACCTTGGGAGGCGTAGCTTTTCGTCCCAATGGGCCAGAGGTCGACGGGACCTCCTTTGCTACTGAGTTATGCTGGCTGCTGCAAGAGCTTGCAGCAGCCGCTGGTGTGGCTGTGGGGAAGAGTGGCAGGGCAGCTTTGTCTGTTCCGGCCGTAGGAAGGGGGGATGGCGGGGCTTTGGCAACCACTTGG